TCGATCCGAACTCGAACTCGAACCGGTCCACCCCCCCCGGCTCGATAATTGTGTTGTCGATCCGAACTCGAACTCGAACTGGTCCACCCCCCTCTCGCTCGATCCACGCAATCTCGCGCATCGAACCCGAACTTGAACTCGAACTCGAACGGGATCAGTTAGAACTACCTGGGGCACGGCCTGGTCGAAAACGAATATAGGTCGCCAAAATTTGTATCTGTCGTCGAGAATGAAGGTTGGGGTTGCCGTCGTCGAAAACGAAGGTGGAGGTTGCCACAAACTGTATAACGGTCGTCAACATTCAGTTTGGCATAGGAAGCACCTTCTGGGAGCTGTGGCCTCAGAACTGCCACGCTCCTACACAGGGTGCACGAGAGCGCTTTATTGAGTTCAATGAAATTATGTTTGCTGGCAACGTTGCTTTGGACCTGCTTGGTCATTCCACACTCTGACATTGGTTTGCTGTTTACTCAATTCCCACGATGAGAAGGAAGGCGATAGAACGGCATGGTGAAAGGCCCAAAGACTTGAAGGTGCTTTAACATTGAAGTTTCTCATCTGCAGTGGTGCGACGGCAGCGCGCGCGAGCGGCAAAGGAAAGGGTTTAGGGGAAGTAGCATGAACCACCATGGAACCGAAAAGGAAAGATTGGACAGCGTAAGCAACAGTTCATGGAACAGGTACACAGTGGGGCGTCCCCCACTGCATCAGCACCTGCTGGCATCCTCTTCGTTGGACGGGAAATGCCAGAGGTGTCCCGTCCCCCTGTTTATCAAGTAGCATCCTTTGGAACAGGGGTTGACACACACACACACACACGCACGCGCGCATGCATTTAAATATGCAAATACATGCAAATTCTGTATATCTAAATACGTAGGTACATAGATACAAGTATATGTACATATAACTGGAATATATGTGGGGAGCTCTGGCGACCTGACTTGGTACAAATGCGCACGGGAAAAACTTTACCAGCGTAGCCTCAGAAGCGGCAACTTTGTAGTGAAAATGCAGTGCGGGATGTGTCCGGATTACGTATGTGATATCGCGTGTAGGTTTGCAGTGTCGCTGGGGAGCGGGATGGTTGGCGGCGTCCACGGGGTTTGGTGTTACGTTGGCACACCGTGCGGCCAAATTACGTTTCTGATGTTGCTGGTGGTGCAGTTAAAGGAGGCAATCAACCTCAACTGGTTGGTGTACATTGTAACCTAATGATAAACATATTTATTTGATTTAGTGTATATTATATAATTAGTCTAATTGTATCAATTTTTTGGGGAAAGCGGTTTGTACTTGATCTGATCCGCCTTCACTTTACTGAAACAACGGATGCCTGTTTTGACAGTAGTTCATTGTTGCATAACTTCGGTTAGTGTGATGTGAGCATTACAGTGTATATACACATATGTATAATTTTGATTTGATTAACACGTGGTGATGGAAGGACCCTTGGCCAATTATCAACCCACAGCAGTCGAAGCACCCAGGCTCACTCCATCGCAGGGCGCAGTCTACAATGCAGCAGTGCAGTTGTGCAAAAAATACGACGCAATGGATGACTTGCTTGAAATAGTCACCATCACTCCTGATGTGGGGCCATGTTCTATTTGCCATGATGCCATGGACGCAACTGGCGCAGTCGTGGTCCAAGTACCCTGCGGCCACCATTTTCATAAATTTTGTGTACGCAAGTGGTTTGTTTCGCAGAGTCATCTTCGCTGCCCCTTGTGTAATCAGGTCTTCGGAACATGGACCTAAGTGGGTTTCTTACCTTTTGGAGTCTGAACGTCAGTCACTCTTCCAACTGTCCAATTGTTTTCTTTGTGCGTTCTTTGAACTGGGGACATGGAAGGCCGTTTCTTGCCACTTGGGCGAGTGTGGATCAAAGCGCCTGGATTGTCGTAGTTTGTACCATCAATGAACTACAGCATGAACATGCCTTTTTTGATTTATTGCCATGTCGCATATGAAAGTGTGTGATACGAGAACCTCGGGCTTTGGTCTCCCTTTTGCAATTTTTTCGAACTTTTGTGCCGCCAAGAGGAATTGGCTGAGAGTGCACGACGGTCCGAATGGATCGAAGGATCCATTATCGACTTCGGATCGGGTCGCACCGTTTTCCCTGGAGAGGTGACACCTGCTTCACTTTCACTGGAGCTTTTCCCACCGCCGGAACTGTCTTGCAGTTGAAGGAATTTGACGTCTCATTGCATGGAGGATCTCCGATTTTAAGCATTTTCGAGGCAGACATGTACTCGATTGTACTCGGATCAAGCATTTTTGCCCCGGCAGGAGAAAAATGAACAAACCCATGATCAAACATTTGAAGTTTTGCAATGAGCCCGCTTCTATAGCACAAATAGTTCACACGCATGTTTTTTTATCCCTGTTAAAACTTCCTCTATACGAAATCAGGTGTCATGGCATCACTAATTCAGGTGGGTTTTGTAAATCTGCAAAAAAAAACAACAATCCCACCCAAATTGAAATTTTGTAGGGAGAAATCTGTGGGATTCTCATTGACAACTGATTCTGTAGCATTGTTTTATCCTTGCAAGCCTATACATTGAGTGCACGTGGAAAAGGATTGTCCAGAGATTTAAAGGTGACTCCAGGGGTTTTGTAGATACCAAGAATGTATGTGCATGTATCGTATCTAAGATGTTGTATTACTTTTCTTGATATTCGCAATGACCACAACTCGTGGCTTCATGATTTTGTAGAAACGCATTGCTCTCTACATTGTAGAGCATGTATCTATTTTGCCTCAGCTCTTGTTTTTTCTTCGCGATGCTTCATGGCCTTCCCACCAGCACCCGATCCATTTTGTAGAGAGGATCTCTTGAGCCTGTCAAGATACATAATTCTGGAATCTTTGGACACGTTGATACTGATCCAGCCGTGCCATTTTGCAGTGGACATGCAGGTACGCCAAAAAACAACTCCCAGCATGACCATGCTGATTTTGACATGGATTGTTTTATCACACCAGGTTGCATTTGTCAACAGCATCTATATTGATAATTTGTTCCTATGATGGAACTTGCGATTTGCATTCTCAATAATACTAAATTCATTCGATGGCGATGGCGTCGTCTATAAATCAACATTGTCCAACAAGAGCCCCCTCCACCTAGTTTGGCCTATCAGGCCTATCGGAAAGACAGCTTTGTTGAACCCAGGTTTGGGATTCAGTGCTTGGAACTATCACGGAGGCCCGGACCACCAATCCACGCCTATTCGGTCAATTGGAGTCTAATGGTTACAGGGAGTTCGTTCCATTATAGTCAAGCAAGTCTTCGTGGTGACCTAGTGGTGGACCAGATGTTGGATGGGTACGGGGCAAACAAATAAATCATGTATGCAAGCATGCAAGCGTTGTCCCATGCGTTGCTTCTGTGATTTTGCCACAGGTGTCCACAGCTGATGAACGCCCAGAGTGGAGTCCTCAACTGGTGCTACCCGAACCTCCGTGCAAAGCGGTAACACATGTGCCGTTTGCAGATCAAGCTGAAGAAACAAACAGGTCATGCAATGTGTAATGACAGTGTAATGCGAACTTGTTCCGACGAGACTCTTCTCGGACTTGTGCATCGAAATGGCTTGCTTGAATTCAACTCCCACTTAGAAGTGCGTTGCATCTCCTACAATGTAAACCACACGCACCAGTCAAGACTAGACTATGAGTTTCTCCACTAGGATGAAGCACGGAACTTGCATGGATTCACTTTTTAAGGACCAGGTATGCAACATGATGTTAAGACCTGACGATTGGATGCTATTGGGATGGAGATTTGACGGAACAAGAACCCAGGCTTCGAAGCATGGCGGCCAGTGCCTTGTGCAAGATCTTGGGGCAGGTGGGAGTGCTCCTGTGCTCCGATTCTTGGAGAATCTGGTAGGGTGGGCAGGATGGGAGCCCTCCAAGAGCAATGCAGGATGGGAGCTACGTTGCTCAGGTTGCTTTGCCAGGGTAGACCAGGGTGGTCAACCCCGTCGAGTTCTTGGTGCCCAAAGACCGGGAAAACATGTAGTTGAGGAGTTGTGGAGGGTACGAGGCACGTGGTCAACCTCACACTACCATTTGGGAAGGCTGTGCCAAGAGGTTACCCCTGACCGAGTGCACGCACTTCCCATGCTTGGAGGCTTTGCGGAAAGGTGCTTTGGCCATGTCAGAGAAGCCAGAGGCAAGCGGCAAGCGGTGCTGAGTTCCGTCCAAATGGTTGTAGCTCGGCCCCGCAACCATCCTTTTCAGACATGAGTGTGTGCAGTACTGAGCATATATACCGTAGTGTACAGTGTTTGGCCAAAGTCCCCGTAGTTTCCAGGGGATACAGCATGCAGATGCGGCACTGGGGTCAGCTTTGACTTGGTCGGCCACTGACCACAGTACTATACTGAATCACAAGTTGCCGCTGTAGTTTACAAAACTGCATCACAACTTGTTCGGGGTTATATATTTAATTATAAGATATGTATATATAAATAGGTATATCCAATGTTTCTTATGTTTTTTGGCACCCAAAGGGGCAACGGATAAACACAGGTTTTGCTGCCAATTGAACCTCAATTAATAGAAGGTTCTTTTGGCAAGTGCGTTCCAACGACGAATGGCTGTCTTTTTAGGGGCCTTTCTGGGGCTCAAAACCGCACTGTTGCAATCCACACCCAAGACTGTTGCTTTGATGCCGCAGGAAGCGCAAGACGAGCTCCTGCGACATTTGGAGGCTCAGAGATGGGGCAAATCTGACTGTACAGACTGTGGATTAAGGCAATCAAATCCTTTGGACAAGTTGGTGTGCTGGTGTTCACTACGTGTATAGGGCATACTATACTTAAACATATAGGCCCTTTACAGGCTGGCGGTCAGACACCTCGAGCTTGTGCAGACGACCATTGTCGTGCATTAACCCTTGGCAAGTCCCAAAACTGCGCTGGAGGATGCACTTTCCTCTATCCCAAAAACTCGTTACCATTGGGAACTGGCGTGGCAGAAGCCGATTGTCAGGTCATTGGTTCTGCAGTTCGTTCTTTCACGGGTTCATGCATTGCAGACACCAGGTGCTAAAGAACATACGTCTATGTCATCCCTAGCCCGCTAACAAGGAAATCATAGAGGGGGCATCAAACATGTACTGTAATTGTCATTTCCCTAGGGGGTCTTTTAAACATAAGTCACCCCGCTGTGACGTCCTTTTAGAGAATATACACTTACATGGCACATTTCCCAGAATGTATGTATTAAGTGGATGTGCCCATTCGCGAGAGATGAATTCAAACTAGACTATCAGCAACCAACTTCAGCGATCCCACCAACCGCGCCGCTCGCACCGCGCTCGACTCCGCGCATCGATCACCACGACCACGACTGCCGGAGGTCCTCTTGCGGAGCCAGCACGACTACACGCGCGCACGGATTTGCGAGGCCGTTCCCGCTTCGCCGGAACGGCGACGGTTCGGGGAACTCGTGGAGTGCATATCGCCTCATCCATTGGTGTCCTGAATGGACCTCATGCTTATGCAATTCAGCGATTGGTGCATGTTTCCAACATGTTCTAGATTGTTTTATGTAATCCTCCTAGAGGTACAGTTTGTGGGGGCAGACTATGAGTCACCAAAAGACCGGGTACATGGTGCATATATGTACATATTGACATCTTGGTACAGATTTGGCCTTCGTTTTGTGCAGAATCATTCAGAGATAATATACTGCAGTCCATGCCAAAGACCCGCCCGGAGTGGTTGCCAAAGCAGTTTGGCCCAGGGCCTCCTGAGCATTCTTCAAACCTCCGGACAAGAACTTCATCCCACCGCCGCTTGGGAAGACTGTGTCATCATTTGTAGGTTCAGAACATTGGTCATCCCATGTGCCTTACTTGCATATGCAGCAGGCTCACCGGCCTCTTTGATCGAGCCTTCAGCTTCACTATTTCCTGCAGTGTGTAGGTGATAATATAAAACATCAATATCATCAATAGTGGCCACAAGCTTCCCCCGCACCTGAGGCATGGAGTACCATGTCTGGTGCTTGGAGGGCTGGTGGTGGTGGGTCTTATGAATGCAGTCGGTGGGGTGTGAGAGGAAAGGTACGCGCATCCGATAAAGGAGCATGAGTTCACATGGGGTCGAGACTGTGAGCAACTGGTAGAGCACTTGGCACCAACATAAATGACAAGACGTTTCTTGAATTCACTGACGGTTGTGGACTTGAGCGGCGTGGTTTGCATCAAACCCTGATGACACTGTTGCAGAATACTTTCTTCACTGCGCGTCATGGGTGTTTCTTTTTTGACAGAACTGCATAGAACCCACTCTCCCATGCTTTGGGATCTATGCTTTACTGTACTGAATTACTATTGTCCTTCTATGTGTTACAATCCTCATTTCTTTTGTCACAGCTTGCATCAGCTGGCTTGAAGTCCAAAGGTTTGGCCTCAGATGCACTGTGCATAGCAGAAGAGTCGCCGGAAAGCATGGTTCCTTCCTGATGTTTTAAAGAACGCCTACTCAGTGACCACATGATCCTGGCGTTTGGGCGTAGTACCTTCAATTTGGTGGTGATTTTGGAATACTGTATTTAGGTGTTTCTACAGGCAAATCAATTGCGCATAGCTTCCCACACCTGCCTTTTTCCGCAGCTGTTAGCTCCGGAGTGCCGGTGTGTCGTCCTGCGGAGGCGTCTTGTTTGTGTGTGTGCTGGTGGAATCGCTAGCTTGGAAGAAGTGGCAACAGAAGAGGCAATAAAAGGAAGAAAAGAC